AAAAAAAAAAAAAAAAAAAAAAGTGGTCTGGGAATGTAGCTCAGGTGTAGAGTGCTTGTCTTCCATGAATGGGGCCCTGGATTCAATCTACAGTACTGCAGAGAGGGAGACAGACATGGCAACACTGAAAACACCGAGGGAGGAAGGGAGGGGAGCCCTATGTAGTAATCCCAGTACTCTGAGGCTGAAGCAGAAGGATCCCCAAATTTGAACACAGCCTGGGATATTTAGTGAGATCCTGTCTGGAAATTGAAAGTTTAAAAATAGGTCTGGAGATGTAACTCAGTGTGAATACCTTGGGTTCAAACCCCTGTACTGCCAAAAAAAAGTATTGTTTTAAAATTTCTTATATTATGAGCAAGTTAAACATCTTGTGTATTGAAGGGAAATTTTTTACATCATTTTTGTCAACTATTTGTGTCATTTTTGGTGGGGGTTTTGATGAATTGTTAAGTTTTTATGATATAAAAAAATTTTCAAATGTTAGTCAAATTTATTTTCTTTTATTACACCTATATTTTGAATAATTATTAAACTACCCTTACACCAAAGTTAAAGCAGAATTTACCCATGTTTTCTTCTAGTACTATTATGGTTCCAGTTTTTACATTTAGATCCCTGATCAATGCATTGGTATTTATTTTTGTGTATAGTGAGTAATATGGACCAAGTGCTCCTTTCCCTTATGGATTCCCACTTGCCCCAGCACCACTCATAAGAAAGTCCATCTTTGTCCCAGTGATATGAGATGTCACCTTTGTCATATTCTTAATTTCCATACACACCTGGGTCTATTTCTGGGCTTGCTGTTCTATTCCACTGGCCTGTTTACCCATCATGTCAGACTGTCTGTTGTATTAACTTTAATATATGGTTTAATGTATGATAGGTTAGTGACTTCTCAAGCTTTTCACTTTTAGTATTTAGTATTCTTACATTTTAACTTTTCCTATAAATTTCCATATCAATATGTCCAGTTCCACCATAAAATTTGTAGCATTTTTATTGGAATTGAATTGAATTTATAATTGGTAGTAAACCAAAATCTTTGAGATATTCATTTGTCATATCAAAAAAACAAGGTTGTCTTTCCATGTACTAAGGACTTCTTTGGCATTGTTTAGAAATGTTTTAAAATATTCCTCATATCAATTTCACACTTTTGTTCTTATCAAATTTATTTGTACTTTCTCTGGTGCTTTTGAAATGGTATTGTCTTCCTACTGTTGTAGCTTTTAGCTGATTATTCTTTATATACCTTAAGACTAATGATGGTATGGTAATGCTGTATGTCAATCTGTATCCCTCTCATTATTGAATTTTGTTATTGTATGAGTTAGCTTAATCTCTGATTTTTTTAAGGTTTTCGTGCTATGCAATTATATCAGTAAAAAACATTCCAGTCAGTTGGAAGATGAAAAAATTGGTACTGA